TCAAGTATAGTCCACATACTTTCTTTATTTTTAAACTTAAGTCGTACACCATGTTGTTTATGATCGTATACTAGGTTCATGCACCCCGTTTCAGTCATAATAAAAGATGAGTGGAGTTTTTCTCACCCGTTTCAAATGAATTTTTTTTTCCATTCCTTTCCTATCTTGAGCAATGAGTCAAAAAATTAAGTAAATTTATTTCATTTCACAGTATTTGGTCAAGGAGTAGGGGTAGATTGGTACAGTTCGAGTCATTACCGCAGCAACCTCTTAGGTCTAAGAGCGTTCAAAAAAAAACTTCGCCATCTCCACATCACTTATCACCTTCAAACTACTTTCTTCCATGCCCACCAACGAAGATATTGAGAATATCAATAAATCCATTGAGGCACTGTTTGTCATGATGCAAACTCTCACTACCAAGGTCACCACCGTAGAGCAAAACAATGTCACTATGGCTGCAATGGACAAGATCAAAGAACAAATTAGCAAAATTTCTGAAGACTTCACCTATGTGGAGTAACCTCCCACTCCTTTGGAAATGAAGGACAAACAGCGTGAGAAGTTCTCCACTGCAGACATCCCCAAGTTCAAGCCAATTGATAACCCAATGTTCTATTTGAATGCGTTCTCTGCAACCATGGCTCTCATGGGATTGGACGTAACACTCTTCCCTATAGTGTTCCCTCTCTCCTTAGAGCATGCTTGCCAACAATGATTTTATTCTCTAGATGCCAAACATAATGCAACTTGGCAAGACATCATCGACAGTTTCATGAATCGTTACAAGTGTAACATTCTAACCAGAACTTCTGAACGTGAACTCTCCATTCTCAAACAGAAAGAGAATGAAGACTTCACCGCTTATTTGAACAGGTGAAGGGAAACAACTGCACTCTTAGTAGATCCTCCCAAAGAAAAAGAGATGGTTCGCCTCTTTATCCAGAACCTAACTTACAAGTACAAGCAACACCTTAGGTTTATGCCTTTGAACACTTTCGAAGCTGTATATGACATTGGCATCAATATCGAGGATGAGCTAATAAAGACTGCTGGAAGTAACAATAATAACACTTGGAAAAACAAGAAGAACGACCTTCCTTCTTCTTTGTCTTCTAAGCCCGAAAGTACTACCAACAATGTATGTCAGGTCAATCTCAATGAAGTGTTAGCCCTTGATGCTCCATTACCTAAGAAAAGGAGAACTTACACTCCTTTAGGAATGACTTATGATGTGTCCTTTGACCGCCTTTACGGTCAAGGCTTGATCACACCTATTGGACCATTTTCAGAGCCAAAACCTGAAGAAAGGAGCGGCAAATGAAATCCCAATGCCCATTGCAAGTACCATCAAGGAAGGGGTCAGTCTACCGAACAATGCTGGAATTTGAAGGATGTCATTCAAGACTTAGTAGATGCTAACAAACTACCCGTCCCTCCAGGTGGTAAGGAGTGACAAGCAGCAATGAAGAAACGGTGTACGCAAGCCCTTCGCGCGAAAATTTCATGATTTCTTTTTTTTTATTAGTTTTCTCTTTCCCCAATTTAAGTCTAGCATAGATTTTCTTTTCTATAATTTGATAATTTTGTTAGCTTATTCACCATTTCCATCAATAATATGAGCATTATTCCTTTATATCTCGATCATGACTTTCTTATTCAAAAAAAAAAAAAAAATTGTCAAACCAAACATAAGGTACACCAATGATTTAAGGCACCTTTTGCAACCCTGCCATTCCCATGAGGAAAGAGCTATATAAGTATCTATGTACACGATGAATAAATTGTATGTTAGTGCCTTAGTGAACTTAAGGTGTTTTCAACACCGAGGGATAGGATTTGTGGCGCATTATGCGTTTAAGGTGTCTATGACACCGAGGTAGATTTAAAAGGGTTCAACATTAAATATTATGTGGTCACTAATTATTCAAGAATTAAATTGGTATATTTGATTGTTTGAATAATTATTGTTGATTGTATGATTATGGTTTGAGATTCATCACCCACTTTAATAATCTGTAAATAACGTAAAGTGAAATAGATTACGCACCAAAACTCTTGGAACGTATACACCTTGAGTATGAACATATGGGGGGAGTTATGTGACTTTATATTTGATCATGACTGCTACTGGAGTACAGGACGCTGTACATTCCTTTTATTATTATTATTATTATTATTATTATTATTATTATTATTATTATTATTATTATTATTATTATTATTATTATTATTATTATTATTATTATTATTATTATTATGTGCAGGAATTCGGCCACCTATGTGTGATTATTGATAGTGGCACGGTTAGCTCCCGTGTTAGTAACCTCAATTTACTTGGGGGAGGTTGATTGGGAAACCCATTCAATGCGTAATCAATACTAAATAAATTATTTAGTTGTCTAGTTGAGAAAGTTTTCGTTGATTGTTGTGTGCTTGTAAACAGGTGCATTGAGCTAAGTGTGTGTTGATAGGTGAAAGCATGTTAGTGTGTTTAAATACGCTTATGTACTCAGTTTTGCTGATTGTGTGTGTTTGTGTATTTTTAGCCTTGTCTTTACCTTGGCTCTATGATGACCCATTTTTTATGGAGAGTAGTGGAAACAAGTAGAGAGAAGCTTTTCAGGTGATTGGAGCATATTCATGACGGGGCATGAGTGAAGAGTGAATCATGCTAGTTTCTATTAGTTTATGATTTGTTTAAAGCTTTGAATATTATATGATATTATTACTCATGGGACTAACGCAAAGTTTTGAACACTAGTAGAAAATACGTAATGGCAAGCGGTTCAAACCCCTTAATGGCAAGCGGTTTTGAACCGCATAGGTTTAGGGGGCTTGCCATTAGCCATTTAAATGGCAAGCGGTTCAACTTGCCATTACTAGAGAAAGGGCAGCAGTTTTGGTGCCAAACTGCTGCCCATTATGGGTATAAAAATATTTTTTTTTAATTTTTATTTTATTTTTTCATATTAATTGATACACAAACCAAACATATGTAAAAATGGTGATATTTTTATTAATTAATTGTTGTAATATTACATTTCAATAAAAAAAAAAAGTACAGTAGCAAAAAAATAATTATAATAAAAAAAGTTAACACTATTCTAAAAAAAACAGCCATCCCGTAACTTGTTGCTGCTCTCGTTCCACCAGCAGCCACCACCGACGCGCACCATCGATTAAACCACCTGCACATAGAATTAAAATGAGATATGAAATTATGTTTTAAAAAAACATCTGAAATTTTAAATCTATTCGAAACACGCACAATACACACACAATCACCCACAAATCCGGAATTAAACCCACAAAACAAAATTAAAATCCCAAATTAAAATTAAAATCCCAAAATTTTCACCCAAAAATCCTAAATCAAACCCACAAAATAAAAATTAAAATTAAAATTTTTCACCCAAAAATCCGAAATCCAACCCACAAAATTGAAATCAAAATGAAAATTATAATTTGTCACCCAAAAATCCAAAAGCAAACCCACGAAAATCGAAATCAAAATTAAAATTAAAAATTTTTACCCAAACATTCGAAATCAAACCCACGAAAGTCGATCAAACCCACAAAATTGAAATCAAAATTAAAATTGAAACTCACGATGTTGTTGTTGGTGTTGCGGGCTGATTATGCTCGTGTACTGTTGAATTTGATGTTGGATGCTTGGTGGGCGTTGACCGGTGGTTGTAGTGGAGAAAGAGGAGGAGATGAAGAGAGGAGAGGAAGTGATCGAAAATGGAAGGGAGAGAGGGGAGAGAAGGAGGCGTGAGAAATGAGAGGATAGGAGAGGATAAGAGAGAGAAGAAAGAGTCTGAGGGGAGGGGAGAGAAGGGGGCGTGAGAAATGAGGGGAGGCAGGAGAGAGAAGAAGAGGCGTGAGAATGAGAGAGGAGAAATAGAGGAACACGCCTTTTAGGGTTTTTAAGCAAATGGCAAGCGGTTCAATGTCCAAACCGCTTGCCATTTACATTTTGGCAAGCGGTTCGCGCCAAAACCGCTTGCCAATCAGTATTAGAGGTTTTTTTTTAAAAAAATTGGCTAAATGGCAAGCGGATTTATAAAATCGCTTGTCATTTGGAGCTTCCCATTACTTATTTTCTACTAGTGGAAGTTGGTTTGGTTTTTTATTAGGGCCTACAATGGTTCCAAGTTGTTAGTTGATTTTATTTGACTTCGTTTGACTTTGGTTTGACTTTACTTTTGTTTGGTTGACATTTTAAGTTGACTTGTTTTCGATGGTTTTGAATTTAGTCTTTCTTTGTGTGTCTTTGATAGTTGCTTTAACCGTTTTCACGGTGGCAGTAACATCTTAGATTTTCCTATTTCGAATTTTAAAGAGAAAAACAGGTATTTTTAAGGAAAGAAATTTCTAGGGTGTTACAACGGGTGGTCACGCGCTTCTAATTTTTATCCTAAACCTATTTTAATCTGGATTTTTGTTGTTTTTTCTTCACCGTTTATCCTTCAACCTTGTTTTCGAGAGCTTTATTCCTAATAAAATTCTCCCTTCATTTTTATTTTTTGTTTTTTCTTTTGGAGAAGTTGTAAAACTTGTTCCATTTTTATTTATTTTATTTTATTTTTTTCTTTTGGGGAAGTTGTAAAACTTGTCCCATTTTTAATTTTAATTTTTATTTTATTTTCTTTTGGAAAAGTTGTAAAACTTGTTCCATTTTTAATTTTTATTTTTATTTTATTTTCTTTTGGGAAAGTTGTAAAACTTGTCCCATTTTTAATTTTTATTTTTATTTTCTTTTGGAGAAGCCGTAAAATTTGTCTCATTTTTTATTTTTATTTTCTTTTTATTTTGGGAAAGTTGTAAAACTTGTCCCATTTTTATTATATTTACATTTTTTTAAGCTGTAAAACTAGTCCCATTTTTTCTTTTTATTTTCTTTTTCTTCTGGGGAAGGTCGGTACCCTCACTTACGAAAAATAACGATTTTTTGTTCGCATCATTACTAAATACACAATCACACACAGTCAGTCTCAAGCACACACTAACATGCACACTAATTGAGTAAATAATGACAAATACGTAAAGTGTGAATAAAATATACAAAGTGAGTCATGGTTTATAAATGATGTGAAGTGTGATCAACGGGGTACATAATAAAAACCCTCGGTCAATACTACTCAGATCCAGAGCTGGGATCACTGTCATCTTGAGGTCGCGAGTAAGGGAATGACAGACCAAAAAGACTCTCCATCATCCGAGTGCGAGGAGTAGTGTCCCTTCTACTAGTACCAACAGCTCCAACAGAAGAAGCGGGTACTGTCCACCTAGTAAACTACGTAAGCTGACTCCAAGATGCAGGAATCGTCCGAGGAGGCATCATCCCAAACAATGGAACTGAAAATAAACCCTAGTCAGTAGGAGTAATGACCGGCCTATACTCAAGCTGCGAAGGCTGAGAATGCCGAGACTGTTGCCACTAAGTCTCCTGAAACGGCTGAGAGGGCCGAGTCTGCTGCCACTGAGTCTCCTAAAATGGCTGAGAAAACTGAGACTGTGGCCACCGAGTTTGAAACCCCTGAAATGTCTGAGAAGGCTGCTGCCGCTGTGTCCGAGAATGTCGACGAACCTCCGGGGATCGTTTGCGGTGACTAGGCTCCCCCTCGTCCGAGCCTCTATGCCTCGAGCGCGAGCGAGACCTCTGTCGCTCCTGAAAGACACAAAATGAAAAGATATCACTGATACAAGAAAAGGTAAACATGAGAAAACAGATGAATATACCTCATTAGCATCGTCGGAGCCACTCTGACAACTCGCACCACATCGTAGCTTGATGATAAAGTGCTTCAAATCATCAATCAACTTCATAAAACCCATCATATCCGAGTGCGTGAGCTGAAACAAAAAAAAAACAGTAACAAGCAGTATTAAGAAGATTGAAAGACATGTCAAAAAGCTTACCGGCTCGAACTCATCGGGCATGGACTCCTGCGCCTGTCTGAAACCCTCTGGTGCATCAGCAATATGCTCCTCAATCATACCAATCAGTCCCGGGTAACGAACAGACTGAGGAGGGAGCTCGACCTTCCCCCTACGACGAGCAGTAGTCTAAAACATGATCGAATAATCAGGTTATTCGACAGTTTAAGCACGGACTAGCAAAATAAAATCCTAAAAAAAAAAAAAAAGCAAACCTCGGGAAGACGGGGGGGAGGGGCCAACGAAGGAAGCAACTCCTGGGAATAATCGCTCTCCATACGCACGAGCTCCTGCCAAGGAAACATATAGCGCTCCCCCCGGTCCAGCAGCTCACCCAGCAAGCGTGAGTCTAACATCGACTCCGGTGGAGGCAATGACACTACAAAGTGATTAGCGCTGTGCTGACGAACAACACGCTCTCCAAGGTACCAAACAAAGCGTGTTGTACCAAAGAAAACAGTACGACACGCCGAAAGCTCCAAAGCCTCGGGAAGGTTTGTCATGCCATCCCAAGGCCGATACTGGATCTCGACAGCAACCTGAAAACCATAAGAGATTTCAATGAATGCCGAAAAATAACATCTAAGTAAAAAAATAATACACTGTGAAATCGATCCTTACACCAACAGTAGAGGTGCCCCGACGCAGCAGCCCGCGCAAACTCGATACAGACTCCACTCGTGACTCACCTCGGTCACGCCAGCTAGCTCCGACAGGGAAATCATGGACCGCTCCGCGACGCCGTCGAGGGGCCAATCCCGGAAAGTACTCATAAAACCACAACTGCAACAAGAATGACCTCTAAGCATATGAGCTTAACCGATAAAAGTAAAACAAGAAGAGGAAAAGATCGTCACCTCTACGACTCTCCACAAACCATAGACAACAACAGGGGACTGATTGTTCAGCTGCCTGCAGCCATGACGCATCGACGAGAGTAGATCAGCATATCCAATACTAGCCCAACTGTAGGATCCTATTTCACCAATCCTGACCAGAGACGGCAGGTAGCAAATAAGCGCACGAGAACTCCTATCATGAGAAAGAGTCCCGGAAATAAGGATCAAGATAAAGATCCGTACTCGTTGCTCAGGTGTCGTCTCAGCTATGTCAAAACCATGGGCAAGAACAGAAGCCAACTCTGATCGTCCACTCCTATGACCACCTCGAGACACTGGTCGAGTCCTGATATGCTGAACGACAGGACCTAATAACTCCGCTGCCTCGCTCGCCCCCCAAGTCAGGTCAGGAATCTGTAGTACACGCCGCTCGGTAAAGCGCAAGCCGCTGATCATACTGAAGTCTAGAGGAGTCATCGTCATCTTTCCCCAGGCAAAGTGAAAAGTGTTGGTAGTATCCCAAAAATACTCCAACAGCGCTCGAACAATTGTCGAACCACAACCTCGAGGGCTGCGAAATCCCACAACCGCTGGATAGAAATCTCCCAAACCAGCAGACTCCACGAGGCGTTGGTAATAAGATCCCCTTTGATGATCCTGTATAGCCGGGGAATCAAATCTCCAGCTCCTGATCCATGATGGCGAAGCACGCCATCGACTATGCTGGTAAGTGGACGGTGAGAAATATGGTTCTCACGACAGAAAACCAACTCATCTGGTGTCCACGGAGGTGGAGTCCATCTACCCCTACTCGTAGAGGGGCGAGGCTCAGTCTCCAAGGCATCATCTATACCCTCAAAAACCGTGGGAGTGTCCTCTCGGAAAGCCTGACGCCGGCCACGAGTAGAAATGTCTCGATCTCGTTGTCTAGGCATGCTATTACGTTCAAACAAAAAAAATAAAAATCCAAATACTTAGCATAATTTCCTAAGTTATTTATTCAAAAAAATAGCTTAACAACTGCCTCAAATTGCACTTTCTATTATACACTAAATTTTTACCTCAAGGCTAAAAATTAGCAAAATAACAGAATTATTTCTAGTACTTAGTTTCTCAATAACAAACTAATATTATAGTTCTCCTAATCGTATGATACTATATTCTCCACGACAATATAATACATACACAAAACAAAGCATGTTTCGAAATTGCACAAAAACAATAGATCGGCACATTATAGCATGTTTTACAAGATCTACAACCATTATATCATCATTTCAAGTGCAAAGAAACAACAAGAATAACAAGAACACCATTTCACGAACAAAGTAGTACCGAAAATGGTGATTTGTTCATTTCTTCACCAAATCATGCAAATTTAGTCTCAAATTGCTCACAAACCGACATGCATTCATATACAAGCTAATTTATGGCAAGAATTTCGACATAAAAGCTCAAAATAAAAATAAAAAAATAAAAAATAAAAAATAAAAACCCAATTTTATTTTTCAAGGGTTTCACATGAAATTACTCATTTGAATCAAAATTCAAGAGAAAAAACAAGGAAACTTACATAGATCCTTGTAAAGATTCGAAAATGAGGGAGCTAGCAAGAGATGTAAGTAAATTTGACGAAGAATTGAGTGAGAAAAGCTCGAAAAACCGCAGCAACTATAGTTGCAAGCAAGCAAAATCGAAGTATGAATTATGTTCCTTTTATTTCTATTATTTTTCTAACGATTTTATATTGTTGGATTTATTGTTAAATTGCTTCTAATATTAATGTTAATTCTATTGTTATTATGATCATTATATTGCATGTTAAAAGGAATATGTAATTGAAAATCATGTCTAATAAGATAATTTGAACGACCGGTTTATGTTCCTTTTTAATCTTGTTGTTTAATCAAGTGATCATCATATTATAGAATTATGTGTGCATTAATATTCAACCAATTTAGCATAGTAATAGTTTGGAGCAAATTGAATCTTTGTTTGCATGCCTTTGAAATCGCAGGATTCACTTTTTCATTATAAGAATCGAGTAGAGGTCAATACGGGCGAATGTGACTCCATGTCTCACTTCGTACCATCATCCCCGATCCTCGTTTCTTGGTTCTAAATCATATGGAGTTAGTAATCTCATGGATTATGGATGGGGTGTAACCTTCACGGGTTAATCGTTGTTGCCTATCGTTGTCCCTTTATTTGTAGTTGTCTTTTATGATCCGTGAACGGTTTACAAGTTCCTTAAAAAAGTTATTGGCAGCTCCCTACTTTCTTTGCCCTATTCGTATTTTGTCAATTCTCACTTTTTATGAGTGTCAAGCATATTCACCACATGTTTTGACGTAGGCGCACTTCGAACGACGCCTACAAGACCCAACGCTATTTTATTATTTATCTTTTCCACTTTCCCCACTTGCATAAATATTTTAATATTTTTCTCTTCTTAACCTACTTATACTACTTTTTTTTTTTACTCTATAACTAGCAATCAAATATATCTCCACCAAAGCACTAACTATACTTTATATTATAAAATTCACATTATGATCTCTAACTTATAAATTTCTTAAAACTTTGTGCACGTCCTATTGTTGTGATTATTATAAAATGGAGGGAGCAAAAATAATTTCAGTTCAATAAAACTAAGTTCCCTTGGCATAATAACAAATTTTAATTGGTAACTTTAATGAGCAAGTATAATAGACCATTAGAAAAGTCTTAAACATTTCAATTCAGCAAAATAATTCAATTCAGTAAAGGTAATTTAAGTTCAACCAAAATAAGGTGAAAAGTATAGGGTCACAATTGTCATAAGCTCACATCAACTAATAACGCTAAGGTCTTGTTAAGTTCAATTTATGTTTATATTGAGGATATATTTTGGGAAGATATATTTATTTCTATCTTTTATATTGTTTCCTTATTTCTAGTAACCTAATTAAGGTAACTCTAGGGATAAGAGTTGTATATATATGTTTTACCCCAATTAATGAAAGTTAAGCCGTAAGTTTATACAATTCTACAGTTTACTTATTCCAGGAAAAAAAAAATAATAAGTTTCAAATGCTTTATGTGCAACTTTTTATCACAAAATATCTTTAGTTTCGTAATATAAAAATTATATATTACTATATATTAATAAGATACAAATTATTACGAATCTAACAAGATCTTAATTATCGTACACTTAAGGTCAAAGTTTGGTCAAATCAGAAAATAAGTTCAGTTCAGTAAAATTCAGTTTTCTTAAAGAAAAATTATAATAAAAAATCAGTAAAAATAATTTCAGTTCAGCAAAAATAATTTCAGTTCAGTGAAATTAATTTCAGTTCAGTAAAAATAATTTAAGTTCAGCAAAAATAATTTCAATTCAGTAAAAATAATTTCAATTCAACAAAATTAAGGTGAAGAGAACGGGACCTTAATGACATCAATTTTAATACATAGCACTAGCTTTAAATTTAAGAAAAAATAAAATAACAATAATAATAGTTACTTCCTCTGTTCTGTTAATATTGCAACAAGGAGAAAATTACGCATCCCAAAACACATTTTATATGCTAAATATCTACAATTATGCAAGAGTAAAAATTATAAAAAGTTGATATTGTGAAAGTATTATATGAGATGAATCCAACAAGATCCTATTTGACTATATTTTGTTTAACGTATAACTCATATTATATGGTCAAACAAGAGTGATGAATAGTGCAAAAAGTCCATTATTGCAATATTAATAGAACAGAGGAATTATTAAGTAATTTATGGAAAAAATCACACTTGGTATTTTTAATTCATATTAGGACTTAGAAACAATTGAAAATATTTTGTTATTCAATCAGATCAATAAAGGAATGACAAATGAAAAAACAAGCCAAAAAAAATATGGCAGGCCATTGTTTTTGGCTTAAGTCGCCGGAACCTGTAACTTTACTAATGTGTCACTGCAACAACTTTTTTTTAACTAATTTGTTACCAGAAATATTATTTTAAGTTAATTGAATTTGTTTTTTGATTCAAATTAGATCTCAACTTGGCACACACCACTTTTATAAACTAAATTAACAATATGAGAAAATCCAAATTTGCTAATCAAAATTGCTAGTTGATAAACGTCATTTGTTTAGCAGATAGATCGGAGCTTTGCTCGTACACAAATTCAAATTCTTATATGTGGCTACCCGCTTGGTATAACCATGTAAGATATTACTACCTCTAGTCCAAATTACTCGCAACTTTAAAATATTTTATATCTCACAAATAATACCACAAAATTGTGCAATGTAATGGGCAAACGGGGTTACTCAAATAAACTAATGGAACTAAAAAAAAAAAAAACACGAAAATAAGAATTGAATAAAATACGAAAATAAGAATTGAAAATTCTTACCATACCTGCAGGCCGTTCTGGGAATTATTGGTGGTATCCTTGGGCAGAGCCGTAGCATTGGTGTCCATGGCAGTATCTTCTTCTTCTTTTTCAATTCTGACAAAATTTCAATTCAAAAACATCAATAGAAATTATAAAAAATTAAAAATTTAAAAAAAAAAATTAAAAGTCAAAATGGGTATAAAGGAGGAGAGAGAATGACCTGGGGAAAGGAAGGTTAAGTGGGAGGGGGAAGTGAAGGATTATAATCTGGGTTTGATCGGACGATATTTTTGGGGCAGTTCACTGAAAAAGTGTTTGTGTAAACTCAGAGGTAGGAGAGTGAGAAAAGTGAACTATTGAAGAGGGAAAGAGAGTGTTTGGTGAAATTACAACAAGTTTTACGGTGGCAAACCTCAGATAGGGATTACTCCCTAGGGATTACTCCCTTTATTTTGAAATAAATCCCTAATTTAATTGATACGAGTATATTTGTCAATATTAAATTTTGATCCTCTTTAATTATCTATAGATAAAAGATTTCCCTCAAAAAAAAAAAAAAAAATCTATAGATAAAAGATTGAGGAAATATTTGTTTCCACTTTTCACGAAAAATATGTTTATTTATAAAGTAAGAAAAGATTATGACCAAAATTCAACTTTGAGGAAATACAAGGGATTTCTACCCTCAAAACTTCTATAATAGGGTATTAATCACTAACCTCAAAGTTGGAAGTATAATCTTTCCCATTAGACTGTGCTTAGCTATCTCTAATATTCCCAAATATCTTTTTTCAAAATATATCCTCAATATATACATATCTACTATTTAGTCATAATTGAAATTCAATATTTAGAAATTATTTATCGAAACGAATCTAACAAAATCCAACACGACTGTATTTTTCTTTAATTAATTATAAAAAGATGGGTCAAAGAACTAGTGTGAAAGTGACAAGGTTCAACGAGACTATTAGGGGCCGTTTGGTTCACTAAGGGGAAAGGGAATGACTAAGAGAAAGGGAAAGAGGGAGAATGGAAAGCAACTCCCTTATTTATTATAGGTTGTTTGTTCACACTTCACAAAGGGGAAAGAGAATGAAGATTGAACTTCACATGGAAGTACCAACTCACTGCCAACAACGAAACTCCAACCACCCTCCTCCCAGCGGCGCCGAGCTCCCCCACCCCCTTCGTCGGTCCCCACCCCTCCCTGCCGACAACCTACTCCCCTCTAATTTCCTGCAACACCGCCGCCCTCCCTCGTCCACCGCACCGCCGCCCCTTTTCTTTCTAATTGTTGATGTTGTCCCTCTTCTCTCTCTTTTTTAAGTGATTTTTTTTATAGATCTAGTAGGTTGTTTGTTAATAGAGTGTCATATGTTGTTTTTTGGGTGTTTGGGGGTTGTTTATGGGTTTTTTTTTTGTTGAAATGGTTAGGGTTTTTGGGTGGTTTTTGGAGTAGTTTTTGTAGTGGTTTTCATGGTGGGTGTGATGATTTCGTGGGTAATGAGTGGTGAACGTGGTGGGTGAGGGTTAATTCCAATGAAGTTGGGTAATTGGGGAAGATGAATTTTTTTTTCCGGGTGGATTTGGGTGGTTTCGGTGGTTTTAGGTGGTTTCGATGGTGGTTTGTTGGTAGCAGCAGGGGTGTCGACGATGTTATGGTGGTTCTGATGGTGTTAGGGTAGCTGGATGGTGTCTAGGTGGTGGTTTCTGATGGTGTTAGGGTGGCTCGATGGTGTCTAGGTGGTGGTTCTGATGGTGTCAGGGTGGCTGGATGGTGTCTAGGCGGTGGTTCTAGTGGTGTCAGGGTGGTTAGATGGTGGCTAGGCGGTGGTGTCGGTAGTCGGTTGGTGTTTTCAAGAGTGGTCAAGGTAGTTAGAAATTTGGTCAAGGTAGTTGGGTGAAGAGGAATTTGGGGGTTTGAGTGATTCCCTTGGGGGGGGGGGAATGAAGATAGAGGAAAATGGGGTAATGGGAGGGGTAAAGGGAATGATTGATTTTGTCTATCAAACATCAACAAAGGGATTCATGGTAGTTGATTCCCATTCCCTTTGTTGAATACCCCCAACCAAACGACCCCTTAGAGTAATGAAGCTTTAGATATAGAGATATTAGCCAGTGGCGGATCCAAGATTTTCGAACTTATGAGTCACCATCAATAATTGATCACTTGTTTCAATCCAAAAATTATATAAAAAAAATTATATTTCACCAAAATGATTTCAATCCAAAAATAGGATATAAAAATACATATTATAAAACTATTACATTAAACTAACTTTATGATTTTTTACTTTAAAACAAGAATTATTAAAAAAAAGTTAGATAACTTAAGAGACCGGTTATTAAATATAACAGGTCTCTTTAATGAAATATGAAAGCTAGACCTGTTATCAACGTGGTGGCAATAGCAGCAACAAAGAGACCACCTATCTGATATTTTAATAGGCAGTCTCTTTGATATTTAAAAAACTGACAGTGGGCTAATCTCAAATAGAAGCAACAAAGAGACCTCCTATCTGTAATAGGCGGTCTCTTAGTTGTTGTTTTTTTTTTTTTTTGCTGGTGAGTCACGTGACTCACTGTGCACCTTAATAAATCCGCCTCTGATATTAGCCCTATATGCACATTGCACACAATAGATAGAACAATCATTAATGTCATAAGTGAGAATATACACTCACAATTATATACTTGTATTTCTTAGTGTAATGATCAAAAGTTACATTCCACTATAAGTTAAAGCGTTTTTATTTCCTTACATAGTGTTATCTTTCTTGAGTTGTAATTTGGGAATCAAGGGGTTTTGAGTAAACTTTATAAAAACGCTTGTAAGGAAATAAAAACGCTTCTGATTTATTGAATTGAGCTGAACACTTCTCGAGCAGTTGTATTAGCTTTGAGTGAAGTTGAATGAGAAGAAGAGGAAAGAGACCAGAGTTGCAAGTTGAAGGACTTGTGCTCGAAACTTTAGAGAAAGTCTTAGCATTGTAATAGGTTGTTGCTCTATTCTAATAAAGTGTCTTTATCTAATAAAATCCCTTGGGGACGTGATTTTTCTTCTTGTTTATAGTTAAGAAATTTTCCATGTAAAAAATTTTCTTCACATTTTTGAGTTCTTTAAACTTTCGTTTTTAATTTTGCAAAAAATTAGCTAAATAGCCAAACTACAATTCACCCCCTTTTATAGTATTCATGGAAGTTACATAGACAAAAATATTATCCCAAAATCCAATTGACAACATGACCATTGTTTTCTTTTCTTTTTTATTTTTTTTAATATTTATTATTTCCTTCATGTCACTTACTTAAAAAATCTGAAAAGTCACCGTTGCACTTACAAAAACAAAATTGTATAGATTCTGTTGTATAAATTAAAGTGTATCAGTAAGATCAATAATATCCCAAAAAAAAAACCATCATATCTCTTGCCTCTCCTCTCTTATAGGGTTTCTCCAAAACTTGGCGTTTAGGCCGGAAATAATAGTCTAAGAACTTAGACTATTTTCGACCATTTTTCCTAACTTTTCTTTAGTTTTGCAATTTAGGTTTCAATAAATCTACACGAGTAAGTGTAGATACATCCGTCTCCCTATGGTGGAGTCTTTATTTTTTGTTGGTTTAGTTGTTTGTTTATGTTTAGGGTTAGTTTGTGTGGTAGGGTTTATAAAAAAAGGTAATCATCTTTTTTACCTATTGTCAGTTCTTTGGTCAAGCGAAATAGATGAAAATCATCCTTACGGCTACAACAAATCGTTAGACCGTCTCTCCAAAAAGGCTGTATATTCCAGCAATGTGTGCGAGAGATGTACCACAATGCAAGATTTTTTCAACGATCGTAGCTTTGATGAAGGAAACCCTAATTTGATTCAATTTTATGTATTTGTTAATGTAGATTTCATTTGTAGATGCCGGATGGCTTTTTATTAATGAATTGATTTGTTTCCAAAAAAAAAAGTCTATCTGTATGTAGCTACTATTAAAAGCTCTCCTTTTACTCTTTACTCTAAAAAAAAGTGTAATAGTTTGACCGTTCGTTTTTTAAGTTGCAACAAAGGAAGTTTTTAAATCTTACAAATAATACCTTGTAGTTAAAAAAAAAAATGGAGGTATCTATGTTACTGATTAAGAGCTTGTTCTGATTTATTGAATTGAATTGAGCTGAACTGAACTGAATATTTTATGAGAGAAGAAAATTAGAAACTGAACTAAACTGAAAATAAGCTAAAAAGAACAGGCCCTAAGCCCCGTCTGGTTTGATGTAAAACATTTTTAATGAAAATTAGTTTTCATGGTAAACATATTTTCATATAAAAACACAATTGCAAATTAGTAATCCTTTATTTGGTTGCATACAAGAAAAGTAAAACATAAGAGTGAGAATGTAAGGGCAGATGAGAGGAAATTAAAAAGAAGGTAAGGAGGAGGGAGGAAAATGTGACTTTCCTTGTTTTATAAAGAAAAAGAAAAATTGTATTCTTCCCCTTCACAAACTAAACAAAGGAAAGTGGGAAAAATAAGGGAATTTATTTTTAATTGAAAAATTGGTAAGAAAAACTGTTTTTTTTTTTTTTTAGGAAAAAAAAAAGATGAATTTGCAAATTGCTCTCATTTAAAGTTTGTATTTTTCAAATTGCAGCCACTTAATAAAAAAATTGTAACTTGCAGCCCAAAAAGTTCTTATAAAATTGTATGTTACAACACGTTTTAACTTTTTCATCGGTGTTTGTGTCGAAAAATATTCAGTTAAGGTTGTAGGGGTCATTTTAGTTTTTAAGGAATCGAATTGAGCTCAAAATTAGCAAAATAATAATGCAAGTGCCGCATTTTGCATAACAAAAAATATCGATTTAGGGCTAACTATTTTTTCGTTGTAAAAACGAGGCACTTAGGTTTTTTTTTACTAATTCCAAGCTCAATTAGGATCAATGGCTCCTAAAACCTTATTCGAATATTTTTCGACACGTAAATCGATAAAAAAAAGTTATATTGGGCTGTAATTTACAATTTATAAAAACTTTTGGATTGCAATTCGTAATTTTTTTTGTAAATGACTGCAATTTGTAAAATACTAACAAATGACTACAATTTGCAAAATTTCCCTTTCTTTTACCATAAACTAGAATGTGCCCGTGCTAATGCACGGGTTATAATTAAGGATAGGATTAAAAAAAATAAAAAGTATATAGATACAAATGGTATTTAATAAAACCAAAATAATAACAACAAAAACCCAAAAAATAAAAAAAACAAATTGATTACAAATTAAAAAAAAAAAAAAAAAAAAAAAAACCCAAGTGTTGAATTCATATAAAAATATATATATATATAATTAAAGTCTTGAAATATTATGCTAAATGAATCTAAGTCTTCAATTAGATTGTCCACGCATCTCTCGTGTCAGATAATAGAATTCTTCCTCCCATCTTACTTGTAAAACAGATGCAACTATGATATCATCATTTCCTATCTCAAGAACATGTAGTATGAAAGTGAATGTATTCATCAATCGTTCACTCAGATACTCCTCTAGAAAGTAGTCTCCAAATTCCTGTTCATAAATAACAAATGTATCCGTTATGCCGGTGAGTAATTCCTTAATATATATGATTAAAGGATATACTTACATTATCTGTCATCGCTTGAATACTTGATATTGGACAACCGATAATCATCTCAGCATATTGGCCAAAGAGTGTAACAGACATTGTATTTGTAGCGTCACCAATTTTTATATTGATTCTATATCTGTTATTATTGATATGATATAATTAGGTTATAGTGATATGTAAAGCAGGTTATAATTATATTTTTTTAAATAAAATAAAAAAAGTGAAAATACCTTGGCCTACTAAAAGAGGGGTCACACTCCACGCACATATCAGCTCTCCTTAAGTGTTGAGCACATGATTCATACCAAATAGGCATAGAAGAATCAATAGATAACACCTTTGCTAGTACTCGAAAGTATTTTACCTGAAAACACACATCAAATATTAAATACCTCATGTATAAGAAAATGAAATCAATAATTGTTGATATACATACATTATGAGCCGCTGTAAACTGATTTAACTTTATCCTTTTTGCATTAAACACCATTTCCATTTCAGAGATACTATTAGTTAATATCTGACTCCAACTGATATGTTTTTGGACATATCCATCATCCGCATACCTATATGAGTTATATAAGTACATTAGTATGCAATATAAACTTACATTGTATATTATGATGTATTTAGGCTTACCAGCCATGTAGATCGTCAGTTTCATCAATATCAGGATCAATAAAAAGTCTGGTACGTCCAACAGTCGAAAGACATGTACCTATTGGAAGGTTAGTAAAAGTATTCAAGCAATGATAATAATGAAAATGACACCATAGTCTTTTCATGGTTATCTAATTTTTTAAAAACTTATTTTACCATAATAGGAGCCAACTGATACCATGGATGCACCCAACACATGATCCTGATTAAGCTCATTGAATAAGAAACGACCTTGATCATGAGCAAACCCTTCCCATAAAGTTAGCCTCATTGTTTCCATGCTGTAAATCAAAATATGTCAATATATTTTTTTTTTAAGAAAAAGAAAAAAAAAAACTTAACATTGCATAAGTTGTTATGATTACATAAACATATTGTAACTTTTGTAATATGCTCTTACTTTGTGTTGCAGAATAACACATCTCTTTTGAATTGTTGTCTCCCACCCGAGACTCTATATGATTCAGACACATATATAACCAATCCAATAACATTTGTGTACATTTCATCATCAAGAAAAAAGATCGGATATGACCTTCAAAACTCAAAAAAATAATTTTAAAAATGCAATAAATATTAGTATTATTTATTTTAATTACTAAAAGACACATACCGATGAGAGGACTATTGCACAGGTGAAGGTACTGTGGAATGTGGGCAAAAATTCAATAAACCTGAAATTGTACCTTGGGATATCATCACAATCATCAAGAATTTCTGTTATCATGGTCTTGTTGCCAAATTTCAACCTCATTTGGTTATTGGAATATTTGTAAGATGTATCTAGAGGCATAAGATCTAGCTGAGCAATTGAATAAGCCTTTCCTTGTTTGAAGATCTTCTTTATATTTACCAATCAGCATTAAATAGTGTGATTTGAACTTCGTCCCCCTAGAAATTGAAATTTTCATACATACATAAGTGTCAAATAAATGAATATATTGAAAAAAAAAGTAAGCACTACGTAAAAATATAGTTCAAACCTCTGAGTCAATGAATACCATACTCCACTAACGATGGACGTAATTTGTACTTCTAGCTCTACTTTGTTCATTGACCATCCCATAATAAACGCACTATAATATTCACATTCAATGTCGTAAGGGTAATACAACGACATGGTGTGTATCTTGTGTACATTTCCTGCATTTTAACATCATTGAAGTGGGCATAAAAAAATAATTTACATAATATTTCATTATTGATCCAACCTCGCACATGTATAAAGGTTACATAAATAGTATAGATAATGAAATAATTTCTTAAATAATGGAAATCTTATAAATGATTAACGGAGAGGAAAGATAAATGTCCTGTAAAATAGAAGAATTAACATGACAAAGAAAATCTAATATATTATAAAAATAGTATAGCTCTGAAATCACACTAAACAAACATTGCTAAGAGTTACTAAATAAATGTTATAAAAAACTACATACATAGCTAATTGACACTGTTTAATACTTCCTTATACACAATATTTTTAGTCAAACTGTGAGAAACATCCTTCTTATTTTGTACTAAGATTTTTAGCCCGGCAGGAGATGTAACTCGTGACATTGCAACATATAATTGGCCATGACTAAACACGGGCCTAGGGAGAAAAATGCCAACTTTGCTCAACGTCTGTCCTTGGCTCTTATTTATTGTCATGGCAAAGGCTAATTTTAATGGAAATTGCCTTCTTTTAAGAGGGAGATCTATCTTCTTGTTGGAAGGTGTTAAATCAATTCGCGGAATTAGAACAGATTCTGTAGCTCTAGGACCTGTGATCACTTTTTCCTCAATCACTCTGTAACCCAATTTCTTGGCGTGTTCCATTGCACAACCCTATGGAATGGTTCATATTTCGCATCAATATTACCGGGGCACCAACTTTCAGCTCTAAGCAATGATTTGGAAGACCCAACAAATTTAATGAGTTTAATAATTCCATAGGCTCCATGTTATCAAGGATCCCACCATCTCCTGTATGACCCAAAGTATTCGAACTATAGTACCTATGCACGTTTCC